GGGTAAGTGAATGAATGAAATGCATGCCTCAACAACAGAAGTATAAACAGAAGTAGTGAATTAGTATGCCAGTGTCGCAGAAGTGCCGCATGTAGTGTTCTCATTACTCCTGCTGGACGGATGCTGTGCTCAGTAAATGAAGTTTCATTATGCAGAAAAAACCCAAGTGACTCGCTGCATTTGCTAAATGCACAGAAAACAACAGAGCGACTCTGTGTGAGACCCTGCATCCCATAATGCAGTGCACTTGGCTTGACCTTGCTTCTCCAGTGCAATGAAAGAATTAGAAGTACTGCAGGATTTGCAGGTCCCCATAAAATGACTATAAACCTTCTCAGATGTTAGTATCAGTCTGTTAGCTGGAAGGATATCTATTAGCCAGTATAATAATAATAATAGCTCTAATATAGCGGACTAAGCAGTATAAAGTGTGTCACCAGCTGTATATTTGAGGTCGGGGCACTTTAGAATGTCCAAAGCATTTGATTGGACAGAAAAGCTGACGAGTATCATAAGCGCAGAGTGATGTCATCAACATTACTGAAGTGTTTGAGCAGGAGTGAGAGTGTGGAAGTTCTGAACACGTTTACTGTCCAGACCTGAATCTCGTCAATGATTTGCAGCACAGCAGCTTATGGAAAACATTCATGCTAACATAACCATGACAAAAGCTAAAGCACGTCAATATGGATTACACAGGGGCTTGATGTACTGTATATACACTGCTGTTGCATTCAAAACATTCTACACACACACACACACACACACACGCGCACACACTCTCTCAGGACGGAAACAGGCTCTCCAATTTCCTGCCTGTCGGATCACATTGAGCAGACAAGGAACAAGCAACAAGTCTGACATCCTGAAAGCATTTACAAACCAACACACACACACACACACACACACACACACACACACACACACACACACACACACACACACACACACACACACAATCCATCTGTCCATGTCTTTTCACACTCCCACCAGGTCTTCTCTGTTCTGTCTTTCTCTGTGTGTGTGTGTGTGTGTGTGTGTGTGTGTGTGTGTGTGTGTGTGTGTGTGTGTGTGTGTGTGTGTGTGTGTCAGGCTTTTATGTGACAGAATAAGAGTGTGTATGTGTGTGTGTAACTTTAGACATACAGGTTAAAGACACAGATGAAACAAACTTGTGTTTCTTTTCTCTACTAAAACCATTTCTCTGCTAAGAAAACCATCTAAATGGACAGGGGTGTGTGTGTGTGTGTGTGTGTGTGTGTGTGGTAGTTAATTGAAGCAGGGATGTTATACAGTGCCTAGGTTCTTATTTAGAGCCGGTCACCATCTGCAAGCGCTTCCGCCTCCTGCTGGCCATCAATCAAACACGTCTCCATCCATCTCTCTGAGCTCAGCCTTGTCTCTTAAAGAGACACTTCAGCCAATAATCTGCATTCTCGCTTTATTTATTCACCTTCTATGTTTTTTGTAACACTTTAGTTTAAATAACAACTCACACCATTAACTACTGGCTTATCACCTGCCTATTATTAAGACTTGAACTGTTTATTAGCATTTGTAAAGTATGATCTTATTTTACATGTCTAATCCTGCCTGATACCTAAAGCCAACCTCACTAACTATTAATAAGCAGATAATTAGTAGTTTATTGAGCTAAAAGTATTCTGGTAAAAATTAGAATTGTAAGATATATACATACACATATATATATATATATATATATATATATATATATATATATATATATATATATATATATATATATATATATATATATATATATATATATATATATATATATATATATATATATATATATATATACATTTTTTTTTCTTTTTCACAAATATCTGGGAATTACAACCACAAAATCTGTCATTTAATTAGCAAAAATAAATAAATAAATCTCAAAAAAAATTATCCAGGAAAAAAACAGGGTCTAATTACAGTAAATACTCTGAAAATGTCCTTGCTCCTTGAAACAACCCTTAAAAATATTATTAAAAATCACAATCTCCCTAGTGGGCTAATAATTAATATAATAATAAATAAATATTAGTTCTCTTTTTGGTTTTGGTTTTCTACTACTAATAATAACCCCGTTTGTCGAAACAAACAGCAACTGAGCTCTTCAGTTTTTCATCTTTTTTTTACCACATCAGACCCTCAAGTGTACAATTCAGGCTTCTTCCATCTGAACTCTTCATTCATCTTAACTCTTGACAGCTTTTTCTTCTCGCTCCGCAAACGCACAATAACCTGCCTTTCTGCCATCTTTCACACACACAGAGTTTGACAGCTCAAACATCAGTGAGTGACAGTCCAATAACCCCTGAAGCTGCAGCTTATATATGAGCAGCAGATGTCAAACGTGGGTGCATTAGTCCTCATACCTGGACATGTAGTCGTTTCGCACCAGCAGCAGGTGTTGGAGCAGAGACAGAAACAGAGGCTC